GACTTCACAAGTTAATAGTGGCAAACTCATTTTATTTAATTCTTTGGATTTAGCAATATACAAGGTTGTCCAAGCCATGTCCCATTTGGAACATCAACACAAGAAAACCCCATGCCTCCTTTTGGAAACATCAATAAACATCCAACGACCACGGGCGCGACTCCGTGACCGTAGTTAGTATGAGATCTCACCTAACTCTTAGTTTTTTTAAAAAATATTTGAAATAGGAGACTCGTAGATCAGACGACCTCGATAAAAGTACACGGCTAATACCCCATGTACCCCAACCCCTGATTGTCATTACTCCAGAAGTGCACCAATCCAGAGTTTTATTGCTCATCCATCTTGCACTTTACGTGATTTACAGGTTTAGACTTGGTGATGACTCATATGCATAACAATACAAACATTCTAAACACAATTCAACCAAACAAGGCAAGTTTCCAATTTCAATTCTTGATTTATTAGTGACAAACAACATTTATTATTTATTCCTTTACTACCTCAGTGTATAAACACCTTGAGTGCATAAGGCACCCCAAAACCTTAACCTCGTCTTATAAGACTTGAATTCCTCCTTTACTCATCTTGTTTGCATAATCATGAATGAGTAATAATTTAATCTTTACACCAATCACATGCCTTTGCCTTTAAGCGCACCTTGCATAATTAGAGCACAAATAATACTTGCATTATAAACTAGTGCACATCATTTGAAATTCACAATGTATAACCAAACAATTTAACCCATTCAATCCTATACATGATACTAAGTTCTCGATCCTTTCTTAAACATGCACCTAAAAGAAAGGTTTCGTAACTTGTATGTACCTTGAATAAACGAATTGGTATGCCACTTTACTAACTAGAAATCACCTTCAATAAACTCCTCTCCTAAACCAAATAATAACATCTCAATCAATACCCAATCAATCAATTTTACAGCAATACTAACTTACTTTAAAGCCTTCAAAATCCAAATCAAACAACACTTTAATTAAAACCACCCCTTTAGTTAAACTTAAAGGTTTATATATAGTTCTTTAAATTTTCTTCATAAAAACCTTAAAATACACTCTTATACATGAAATTACAGCAAGTTTAAAGGTTAATAAAAATCTTAAAATTATTTAAAAACCCCTAATAATCTCCCTTTTAATCGGGTGATTAAACCCTCTTTATAAAACATCAAAAGTAGTACTTAGAAACTATTTCCAGCACTTAAAACTTCAATAAAAACATATATTAATGCTTAATTAACTTTAAACATAATTAATTTTATCAATCAAACTCAAGGATAATATTTAAGTATAAAAAACTTCGTTAAAATAAAAAACTGCCCGAAAATCATATTTATAGGCTGAATTTGGCCACGAGAGGGTGGTACACACTACCAAAGGTAGTGATTCTTTCTTAAAACGTTGTTTTCACATGAAAAACACTACTTTTTCATCAAAATCGGATGAGTTCAGAACCTGATCGGAATTAAAACGGGATTAATATTAACGAACGGAAATCTAAAAATTAAAACACGAATTTAAGTGTTCAAAATAATCTGGAATTAAGTTATACTAATCACTAGTTATAATCACCAAAATTTCAAAATATCATTACTATAAAAGCCCTAAATCAATTGTTCATAAAAACCCTAAAATCATGATTTTCAATAAATTGAAACCCTAGGTTTATAATTCATAAAATGTAAAAATTTATAACATAAATATAATCTGAAATATTGAAACCATCAAAATATAATTTGATACTAAAAATATAATATTTATACTAAAATCAAAACCCGAAACAATTAAATTAACATTAAGCAAAATAATGAAACAAAGGAGGATGAAAATAAGACTAACCTTTTTGTGTAGGAAATTTTTGGAGATTCATGGGGTATTTATAGGAGAGAATTATTGTAGGGTAAAAAGGAAGATTGGGCCTCATAAAAATAATGGGTCAATTAAGTAAACAAATGGGTTAGGCTTGTTTGATTGGACATAAATTGTAGAATAAAGGTGCATAAAAAATTTGTTCAAATAATTTTCGACCCAGATTAATAATTTGAAACTTTTAAAATTAAATTTCGGAAAATAACAAATAAAGATTATAAATAAAATAAAATTTCATTTATAAAATATTTTTAAAATACGAGGGATTACAAATACGGGTTAGGGTCAATTTCGGTTCAAGTCGGGTTCAGTGCAAGTTAATTAAATTGGTCGTTGTATACTTGTAAATCGGTGCAAGTTGTAAACCGGTAAATTGGTCATTTAACAGCAAATCGGAGGGTTCCACACATCCAATTGGACTCTCGTAGGGTATTAAGGACCATGGTAAACATTTCGGAAATTTTTATTTCCGGAGAAAAAAAGTCAAAAAATTCCAAAATTAAATACTAATATCCATGCTTTTTGAGAAAATTTGGAGGTTTCGAGCTTAGTTTCGAAAAGTCTTGAAATTATATGAAATACATTTCGGGGTCATATAATGCTGTTTGGAACCATATATGATCATTATTTGTTGTCATAAATGTTTGTGGTAGGCTTGAATTAATGAAATCGGTGCAAGTAGTAAACCGGTAAATTGGTCGTTTAACAGCAAATTGTATGGTTCCACACACCCAATTGGACTCTCGGAATGTATTAGGGACCATGGTAAACATTTCAAAAAAATTTATTTCCCGGCGAAAAAAAAGTCAAAAAATTCCAAAATTAAAGGCTAATATCCACGTTTATTTAAAAAATTTAGAAGTTTCGAGGCCCAGTGTAGAAAAGTCTTGATATTTTAGGGGATATATCTTGGGGTCATATAATACCGTTTGGAACCATATTTGATCTATGTTGTCATAAATGTTCGTAGTATGCCTGAGTTAATGAAATCCGTGCAAGTTGTAAACCGGTATATTGGCCATTTAGGCAAATTGGATGGTTCCACCAACCCAATTGGACTCCCGCAGGGTATTAGGGACCATGGCAAACATTTCGACAATTTTTATTTTCGGGCGAAAAAAAGTCAAAAAAATTCCAAAATTGAAGACTAATATCCACGTTTTTTGAGAAAATTTGGAGGTTTCGGGGTTCGGTGTCGAAAAGTCTTGAAATTCTAAGGGATATATCTCAGGGTCATATAATGTCGTTTGGAACCATATATGATCATTATTTGTTGTCATAAATTTTCGTGGTAGACTTGAGTTAATGAAATCAGTACAAGTTGTAAACCGGTAAATTGGTCGTTTAAAGGCAAATTGGATGGTTCACCCACCAAATGGGACTCCCAGACGGTATTAGGGATCATGATAAACATTTCGGCAATTTTTATTTCTGGGCAAAAAAAGTAAAAATTACAAAATTGAAGGTTAATATATCCACGCTTTTTGAGAAAATTTGGAGGATTCGGGGCGCGGTGTCGAAAAGACTTGAAATTCTAGGGGATACATCTCGGGGTCATATAATTCCATTTGGAGCCATTTATGATCATTATATGTTGTCATAAATGTTCGTGGTAGGCTTGATTTAATGAAATCGGTGCAAGTTGTAAACCGGTAAATTGGTCATTTAAAGGTAAATTGGATAGTTCAACCCACCCAATTGGACTACCGGAGGGTACTACGGACCATTGTAAAAATTTCGGCAATTTTTATTTCCGGACGAAAAAAAGTCAAAAAATTCCAAATTTGAAGGCTTATATCCACACTTTTTGAGAAATTTTGGAGGTTTCGAGGCACGGTGTCGAAAAGCTTTGAGATTTTAGGGAATACATCTAGGGGATCATATATTGACGTTTGGAACCATATATGATCATTATATGTTGTTATAAATGTTCGTGGTAGGCTTGATTTAATGAAATCGATGCAAGTTATAAACCGGTAAATAGACCGTTAAAGGCAAATTGGATGGTTCTACCAACCCAATTAGACTCCCGAAGGGTATTAGGGACCATGATGGTAAACATTTTGGCAATTATTATTTCCGGGTGAAAAAAATCTAAAAATTCCAAAAATAAAGGTTAAAATCCACGCTTTTTGTGAAATTTTGGAGGTTTCGGAGCCCAGTATCGAAAAGCCTTAAGATTATAGGGGATACATCTCGGGGTCATATAATGCCGTTTGGAACTATATATGATCATTATATGTTGTCATAAATGTTTGTGGTAGATTTGAGTTAATGAAATCGGTGAAAGTTGTAAACCGGTGAATTGGCCGTTTAAAGGCAAATTGGATGGTTCCACCCACCCAATTGGACTCCCGAAGGGTATTAGAGACCATGGTAAACATTTCGGCAATTTTTATTTTCGGGCCAAAAAAAGTCAAAAAATTCATAAATTGAAGGCTATATCTACGCTTTTTGAGAAATTTTGGATTCATATATAATGTCGTTTGGAGTCATATATGATCATTATTTATTGTCATAAATGTTCGTGGTAGGCTTGAATTATTGAAATCGGTGCAAGTTGTAAACCGGTAAATTGGTCGTTTAAAAGCAAATTGGATGGTTCCACCCACCCAATTGGACTCCCGGAGGGTATTAGGGACCGTGGTAAACATTTCGGCAATTTTTATATCTGGGTGAAAAAAATTCAAAAAATTCCAAAATTGAAGACTAATATCCACGCTTTTTGAGATATTTTGGAGGTTTCGAGTAAGGCAGTCAACTCGGTTAAACGGGTCGGGTTTGGTTCGGTATCTGTGGGTCTGGTCAATTCGGATTAATTCCATAACCTATGCGAGTCGAGTTTGAGTTGGGTCATGCTTTAGTCATGTCCACATTTTAATTCAAGTATCTATCAACATTTGCTCGGTGTGACAGACTACCATGTAAAAGGTATACCAAGATGTATAATATGACATACTATATATGTTAATCGAGGCATATGCCGCATATCCATAATTAAAAACTAAAAAATAAAATAAAATAAAATAAAAAAAAAGTACTTAGTATTTCAAAACTACTATAGATAGGGTTTAGACTAGTAAGATGCATGAGGAAACCCAAGAAAGCATATATACAGATTCACAACTTCTCAAGTTTCAATTCAACATTGGGCCTAATATCAGCATGTAAAAGATCAATGTTTTATCTATGCGTATTATAGAAACCTACGTATAATACAACAGTCCATTGAAAAAAGATATACAGCTTAGTGCATAACTAAACTTGTTACTACATACTGTACTATATTATACTTCGTACTTCATATATTACATATAAAATGCATTAGTATAGCGTGTGAAAACACAAAGCTATACGAACATATAGTTATATACTAAGGTATTATACAAGATATATACTAAGAACTACAAGTCTACAATCTATACATTATACTACGTACTATTTTAGCATAACGGTACCAGTATTCCTAAAGTTGTTTCAAGTCAAAATTATTTTCGAGGGAAGGCAAGCTTCTTGTACCTGCTGTTCTACATACAGCACCTCACAGGCAGCAATCATAACAATAGAATGACCAGTCGGTTGATATCTACTTTGAGCTTCAACAAACCCTTTGCTAAGAACCCGGCCAATCCAATCCTCAACCTCTTTATCACTGTCACATAAGCAGGCAGCTGCGATTATCTGATCCATGACTTTAGGCTCAATCTCCAGCAAGCACTTCGACTTGATTACTTCATTGAAGCTTGCATGAATCATTTTAGATATTTTTGTAGCCAATGTATCATAATCAAAAGGGTTAAATTCTAATTTGACCAAAATCTTACTTAACTGGCCTGAGAAATCCTCCAACCAAGAATCAGATCTTTCAGACAAACACCCTGCAGCATCGTTTTCTTCAATGTTGGTGTCATTAACTTCACTAGTTTCAGCTGGAAGGTTCAAGTCAAGGGACATAATAGATCTCCTGTGAGGTCGTTTGAGTCCTAGGGGTGAAACAAATTTGGGTTAAAACCGAACCAAACCGAAAACCGAACCGAATAAGAAATATGGTTCGGTTTTTTTTCGAAAGTGGTTCGGTTTGGTTTTGAAAAAAAAAATATTTCGGTTTTCGGTTTGGTTTCGGTTTTAGAAATTGAAAAACCGAAAAACCGAACAAAACCGAACAGAACCGAAATTTCAGGCCCAAAAGCCCCCTAGCCCAACACTTTTACCCTAAGTATATAAAGGAAAAAAAAAAACCCTAATCCCTCACTTCCTCATCTGACTCTCAGTCTCTCACCTCTCCTTTCCTCTTCTTCTCCTGATCTCACCTCTCCGCCCTTTCTCTCCTCTCTTCTCTTCTCAGAATCTTAGTTCTTCCTCTCCCTCCTTTCCTCTTCTCAACTCCGTCCTTTCTTTCTCCTCTTTGATCTCTTCTCCATCACTCTGTTCTCCTCTTTTCCCCACCAGCCCACAGCGAATAAGTTTATTTACAACGTTATTAAGCCATCAACTGAGTAGCTAAGGTTTTTCATGTCAAATTCATCCATGAAAACACTAGATCTAGTGTTTTCATGGTCGAACTTGACCTTTAAAACCCAAATTCGAGGTTTTTCGGTGGAATGTGAGGTATGTCCTCTTTTTCTTAATTTTAATTTGATTTGAATTTTTTTTCCTACTTTATTTTTATGGTGGCGTAGCCGTGTAGATTGAATTGCGGTGGTGATAGGTAGTTGTGGGTCGATCTAGGGTTAGTGTTTGGGTGGAAAGGATGAAGGGTGGTGAAATAAGGTGGGTTGTGGGTTGTGGTGGGTGCGGATCTGGGTTAGGGGTGGTGATAAGGTGGTTTTTGGTGGTTGTTGTGGGTGGTAGTGGTGATAGTTTCTATGGGTGGTTAGTGGTGGTTAGTGGGCATTGTTGTGGGTGGTTAGTGGTGGTAGTTTCGGTGTTTTTTGGTAGGTTAGGGTGGGTGGTAGGTGGGTTTTAGGTGGGATGTTTGTATGGTTTGGTTTGGTTCAATTTTAATTGGTGTGGTTTGGTTCGGTTTTTTTGCAAAATGTGATGTTTAGGATGCTTGAGAGGAAAATTCGGTGCGGTTTGGTTTTTTTTAGGAAAACCGAAATTTAGGTGGTTTGGTTTGGTTCGGTTTCAAAGCTAAAGTGGTGCGGTGTGGTTTGCAAAATCAAGAAACCGAAATTTGGTGGTTTGGTTTCGGTTTGGGCAAAAAACCAAACCGAAAACCGAACTTTCACCCCTACGTTTGACTTCCATACAAATAAATTGGTCAGTTTTTACATCTGTTCCATTGAGCTTCCTCTTGTTTAAGAAGGTTTCACAGGCCAACTTATCTCCTGTTTCATGTGAAATACCTTTAACTACAATTTGAAGTGGCCAGCCTTTTGCCCTTCCAATTCTCTCCTCCGGAAAGTTTGACGGCTTCCCCCTCAAAGGGAGTGTGGAGCTTTTCTCTTTAGAAATCGAAGTTAAAACGAAGATTCTATTGTTAGTAGCAACTTCCCTCCCGTATGAGTCTGAAAATTTACCATCTTTCATGGCCTGCAACAAGCTGCATTGAAGTACTGGGTCCGCAGAGTGGACATTTTCAAAGAGAACAACACAGGATGGTGTCTTCCGCAACTCCTCAGCAATGTAATCAACTATAGTCTTGCCTCGAGACCTTGCCTCAGACCCTTGGCAGAATATCATATCTCTAGAGCTTAAATCTACATGGATGAAGCTCTTCTTGCTTCCATATAAAATCTCAGCAAGGGCCACAGCAGTTTTTCTCTTGGCAAAAATGTCAGGTCCACTAAAGTTTAGCCAAATATCTCCTCTGATACCAGATTTTTGGTGGCTTCCACTAACTGTCCAGGAATGAGAGACTATCTGGCTGATCATTCTGAGAGCTTCACATTGCCGACCAACCCTTTCAAAAAGAGTTTTAAAAAGTGCCTTAGAATTATTCTCAGGCCGCTCATCTGCTTTCTTTTGTTGCTTCGAAGCTTGAGGAAACAATCCCAACCCCAAATCTGTGGCTACCGAAACAACAGATGAGGGAGATGTTTGACCATCATCCACACCTGATATGCAGAAACTGTAAGGAGAAGAGCCAACATCAACAGGATGCCCTGTTCTTGGAGGACTTTCTGATAGTTTAGTAGGGAAAATACCACTCTTTAGTGACCTTAAAAGAACTGACTTGCTTGATGAAGACAACGAATGTTTCTGTACATCCATGGAGGTGCATGAATTGATCTGTCCATAATCACATTCCTTGCAAGACCCGCTGGTAGTGCAACTGCTCTCATTGTCAACTTTTATGACCTTTTCGTCAGGACTATGGAAGCCTACATCAGTTGGAAGTTGAGAAGATTCTTGACAAACTTCTGGCTTGGATGATGGTTGAGTATGGTTCTGACATTGACATAAATTGCAATGCTTTTTCTGCAAAACTGCTACTGGAGCACTTAACAGCACTTTCCCACCTTTAGCCTGCACTGAAGAGATAAAATATGGTTAACTCAAAACAAAAAAAAATACAACACGAGCATGTATTCAAACATGACTTAAATGAGCAACAAGAACCTTTGGTTTTTCTAATAAAAAATGTACAGGAAGTACGTCACAAATGCACAATATTAATCAGATTCATACTACATGAGTACCATATTCATTCTGTAATATATACTCTGTAGCAATAAGACCAATAACCGTATAGTAAACCTAAAGCAAGAAGCCTGAACTAGAAATAGGACCCTTATAAATTTGTTAGTTTGTCTGTTCATTGTATGGACTATGGAGTACTATATCTTGCATTCTTGCTCTATATTTTTATTTTATACTAAGTTATAATTATGCTGAATTGTAAAATTTCAGTTTATTGAGAGAAAAATTATTCAATTTTGCTAATTGTATCCGAACTAGATTACAAAAAATAACATAAAAGATGCACTCTAAATCTTTAATTCTATTTGAAGTGGTAAAGTATCCAAGATAATCTTTTAGAGAACTACCACCCTATTTCATACTTGCGAACTACTCACTCCGTCCCTAGATGTTGTGCTCAACTGCTCATTTCTCACATTTCACGGTAATTAAGAAGAATGGAGTACATAAATATTCTTGAAAGTAGAAGAATATTATATGCGAAAGACAAAAAGTAAGTAATGATATTTTGGAAAAATGTGTATTACATGGGAAATGTTAAAAGCCATTAATAGCACGGAAATTTATGGATGTGTAGCAGAATTTTACAAGGGAAAGGTAAAAAAGTTGTGTGGAATATGATAGAATTATGTGATACTTATTTTTAAAAAGAGACACAATTTGGGACACCATTTACAGACACATCATTTAGAGATGGAGGGAGTTGAAGAGAGTATTTAGAATAAATAGTTTTTATTGTATTGGAGAATCCATTACCCTAAGAGGTTCCAGCATGTCAGCAGTCAACCTAATAAAGATATTATGATGTACGAGTATTTTGAAATCAGAATTCTGTAGGTAGCTTGACGTTCTATACTTAGCTTAGTTAGCTAGATTAGATCACTTCATCATTGTATCCAGAAAAGTTGCAATAATAACAAGTTATATTTCCTGCTTCTTCTGAGTACACAGAAGTTCTACACTAATATACTAAACCTGTGCTGCTGTAAGAATGCTGGATTTTTTGTCCTGCAGAGTGTGCAGAAACATTCAGTTCTAGTTAAATAAAGGTAAGAACAAAATTACCCAAGATTTCCTATGTAGGTAGCAAGTAGCAACCTAATTTACTTGGCTCAAGCAGGCTGGCAAACAGGTCATTCAGGTCGGGTTCGGGTCGGGTCAATTCAGGTCGGGTCAGCAAATGTTCGGGTCGGGTTGATTCGGGTTTCGGGTCAAAATCGAGTCAGCACTTTGGGTCAAGTTCAGGTTGGGTCAAGTTCGGGTCAGGTCAAGTTCAAGTCGTGTCAATTCGGGTCGGGTCAATTTTTAAGATCAATTTTCGGGTTAGGTCAAATTCGGGTCGGGTCTATTCGGGTCAAGTTTGTGTCGGGTCACCAAAATAAATTCACTTAAAAAAAATAGTTGGAAAAATAAAGTAAAATCGTTAAAAAAAAAATCATGAGTACCTATTACGTAGGAAATAAAGAAGCCCTAAACTAAGTAATTCACTATTTCACCCTATTCACTTAGGATTCGGGTCAATTCGGGTCAAGTCGATTCGGGTCAATCAATTTGGGTTACAATCGGGTCGGGTCACTTCGGGTTTCGGGTCAATTTCGGGTCGGGTCACCCCGGGTTATCGGGTCAACTCTATTTCGGACCGGGTTTGGGTCGGGTCGGGTTAGTTCGAGTCAGGATCATTTTCGGGTTACGGGTCGGGTCAATCAGGTTGGGTCAGGATTGTCAGGTCCGCGTCAAGTAGTACAGGGGCATAGTGATTCCCCTTTAAGTACCAGGTTTTTACCGATTTCACAAAATTAAATCCTTCTATTATGAGGTTACAAAGCAGCAATGCCTCTTGAAATGGTAATCTAGTCTCTTTACCATAACTTTTGTTTAACTTTTCACTAAATTTTAAATTTTCCACTGTACCTTAAGGATAGGATACATTTACATATGTCTAAAAACACATCCAGTGGATGCTTGTCCCTCTTGAGATTATTCCAATTCCCATCTTTTTCTTTTTCTTTTTCTTTTTTTTTTTCAAGGAAGGAGTTAGGAAGGGTATTAAGTATATGGATTTGCATGAGAATGAGGCATTTGATCATCGGAGATGGAGGAAGAAGATTTTTGTGAATGACTATACGGAATAATCACTTTTGGTTCAACTTATCACTGCACCTAAGAGCATATTTAGTATGCTTGGAATACTAATAGGTCAATATGCTTAGTACTGTATGATGGGCACAAATAAAGGCAAGAATCAGATACAATGGTACACCCAATTACAGGTTGTTATTCTTGTTAAAAAGTTGGAGGCTTCATCATGAATATGACTCTTTTCCTATATTCCTTGTTTTTGACCCATACAAGAGAAAATCTTGGTTTGAATCTCTTGTGAAAATTTAAAACAAAGATTAGAAATATAATGCATACCTTTATGTTATCAAGTGTATCATTTGATCCACATTTATCAGCCATTAAAGTCATGCATCCTCTACTTGAAATTTCTTCCACGATTTTTTCATTGCTCATGCTACAGGGAGTGACACATTGATATGAGCTGCCGAATGGACCTTTGACTTCAGGAGATGAAAAAAACCCACCAAGGGGAACAAATGATCCCATCAAGCTGTTAAACATGATATGGACATGCGACTATGAGAAACTGAAGTTAAGATGTCAGAGCAGAAAGCAAATTCAAAAGTAGCTGGCATTACAGAAAGTTCAAACACAGATGTCTATGGGACTGAACAATGCTAATCAACACACAGGCTATTTGAGTAGAAAATGAACCGAATCCAAAGCAGAACCTTGAAAAGTTAATCAACAACAAAGTATACAGTTAAAATCTTGTCAAAAGACTCTAGTTTAGAATGAATGAATTCAAAACAAAAAAATCTATGAGAAGCAAAGGAGGTAACCCATGTCTGGCAGATTAAATCACAATTCACCAGATTCTTTTACAATAATGTGTGGTTTGTCTTTGCCAAAAAAAAAATGTATGGTTTGTCTCCTTGTCTGTCAAATAGATCCTGAGACCAACAATCTGGGCATTCAACATTAATTTGCATAGCTATCGTGTTACTCCAACGTTACTTTAGCATAGAGGCATAGAGCTGCTACACTTCACTTGCTCTGATGCTCTCTAGCAATTAAATTTCTCATGAATGAAATTTACCATCACAACACCCCATCACAATTAAGGTAAGTGTAGTATAAACATGCAGAAATGCATGCTACTGGTCCTGAAGTCCCTGAATTGTCTAAGGGTTAGATTTTTCTTTAAGGGTTCAGAACTAGACTGAGGAAACATCACTACATATATCAATTTTAGTTCCTCGAAAACCACAAGCACCATGAAGCCATGGAAAATGTTTTGTTTCAAATGCTACAATTTAACTGCAAATTATATGCTCATCGCTGTAACTTTTAACCATCAAGAGAGATTGACTGCCCACGTGCAAAAGCTAGAAGAACTAACATGTAAGCTTGCAAAGTAAATCTATGAGCTTCAGTAGATTTGGAGCCGTAGGTGTATAAACATCCTAAAGAAGCCATGCAAATCACATAATTTAATTTTTTTTTTCAAGGAAATGTTAGAAACTATGCATGGATCAAACTCTTCACTGAACTATCATGACAATTTTTGTGTGCAAACTGACTTAGGCAACAACCAATATTGATAATAAAACAGAACCTCAAGAAACTATGCATTGTTTTGTTCACATAGTCCAAAATCCAATGCCAGGTAAGAGGATAAACATAACATACAAACGGAGTATATACAAGGTCATAGTCCTCATAGAAATCCTATAGATGTAAAAAACATAGCACAAGTTCCTACTCAAGAACATTGGAAGAAAAAATGATCAAACTTAATTTTATGCAAGAAATAACCTATGATCACAAGTTTTAATTCTCACTGCTTTAGAAGTTAGGTTATCAAATACACTGTAAGCCTAGAGCATGCATCATTCTATTCTAAATAATGAAACAAAAGCTGAAGGTTTTATAAATCCTGAAACTAGCAGCAGTCATACTAAGTACCATAATTTATAATCCGTATAAATACTAAGATCAGAGTAGTAAGTCACCTCGACTTAAAGCATGATTCTCCCACCGGAGGCCTGACCGATGTGATCGGTAGAGGCTGCAAATCCCAGTCCTTGTCTATAGATGGAAATCTACGTAAGAACTCCATACACATCTGATCATTTGCAGCAGAACCAATTAGCCATATTTTGGTATCATGAACCTCTAATAGCTTAGTCAATCTTTTAACAACACTATTTATCACATCCTTCACATATTCATTATTACCTCCAAGAAAACACTTGACATTACCAAAACTAACCATCAACCCAGGCCCCAAGCATTGTTGCACCATCAAATCCATTTCCCTAAATCTCAAATTCACAGCCTCATAACTCCAACTCTCGGTCACAATTTTCGACACATCTTTCTCAATTGAAACCACTTTGATCCCATGTATCTCTAAAGGCAAATAACCACTCTCCCTTCTTTTCTCTAAAACCTCTACAAAACCCTTAAGAACATCATTTGCACAAACCCCAACAAGCAATGGATTTCTACCCTTATGCCTTACAAGAACCTCCCCAATTCTCCTATAATCACCCTCTTCATCCCCAAAACCCGAAAACGGAAACCGAAATCGACAACTACCCGGCTCCGAAAACCCACCAAAAACACTTGGCGGGTACCTAAAATAACCCTGTAATGGCCTCAAAAGAGCCAACTTTACATCAAAACTACAAAACCCTGCATCACTAAACACCCTACTAACAATTGGATCATCAAGAATTGATATAATCAAGTGTGGCAACTCCACTTTAACAACCCCAGATGAACAACTCCCTAACTGTTCTTGATGATTTTTAACGGTCATTAAGCTATCAGGGTGTCTCCTCTGATTAGCTTGTGATCGTTTGATTGCAGCCATCAAAGAATTTGAAATTTTGGGTTCATCAACACTAGGTTGTGAGATGGGTAACCTATCTAATGACACAGAAAGGCAAAAGTCCAAAGCTTTCAACTGAACTTTAGGGTAAAACGCAGCGTTTTTTGCTCTTACACAGGCTTCCCGGAGTTGGGAAGGTGATAGAGAAAGAAAGGCGTAAACAGCATGAAGCGACGTCGTTTGAGCATGCCCACGGCGGCGCGTAACTAACACTGCCTTATCAAGCGCGTGGGAAGCTTCAGTATTAAGACATTGCTTTGCTGTGTTCACCGGAGTTGGCATACTGTTGCCTCCCTGAAAGGGAACACCCCAAATAAATAAAAATCAAATCTTGGGTGTTTTTTATTTTTTCTTTTTGAAAATGGGAAATTTAAAAATCAAAAATTTGATTGAAATGAAAAAAAGGGGGTGGAAAATTTGATTAATTTATTGTGAAGAAAAGGTGGAGGGAAATGGTGAAGGTGGAGAATGATGGTGAAGAGGGTGGTGGAAAGTGGGACCTTCATTGAGGCATTTAGTCGAACACATGGTATGCATTATATTCGAGTATGATTTCATTTGAGATTTGGGATTCCTGTTTTTTGATTGAAACACTGTTGGATTTTGGAATTATGGATGATAAAAGGAGTCAATTCTAACATGGAGTAGTATCTTCTCAAAATTTATAAATTGAAGGGTTTTTTAAATTTTTCTCCTCAATTGGAATCCCACTTTATTTGATGACTTGTTGTTGTATCTCGATTGGAATTGGACCAATTTGATAAATTTAGTCAATGATTCACTATCATCAAGTGAAGTAGTCAACTAGCCATTGGGTGGAGTAATGAGTTGAGTGATGAGGTTACTTTTAGCTTATCATTACAATTCAACGGCCAAATATGAGTCGTACATAGAGTGGTCATAGACTAGAGTGATTCGAGTGAATTCATTTGGATCGTGTTATATTCGGAATGAAAATATTTGATTTTATTTCTCTCTATTCAATTCTAATCATGTACGAGCGAGGAGTTTTAAATTTTTAGTCAAGTTAGTTTTAGATCAATTATTGAAGAGTTTGTAATTTTGAGTCAAGTTAATTTTGGTTTATTATGGGAAAAAGATTAACTTAAGTTGTGTTCGATTTTGGACCAAAACGTTTTGGTTTGAATTTGTTCAACTCATCCACTTATGGATGTGCATGCGCTAGCTGGCCGTTGGGCCTCCATATTTTTCCATCCTAATCTTTAAATTCATGTTATCCTTTTACATCTATGTTTAATCCTCTATTGTCTTAGTTTTCCAACCTAATCTTTAAATTCATGGTGTTGCCCTTTTACATCTATTTTTAACCTTTTGTTATCTTATAATTTAGGTGAACATTGATCCTTTTTTACTTATCCTAAACATACATGATAAATCTCATTATATGTGGTGAATAGTGATAGTCTAACATGCGATAAGGAAGTAAACAAGCAAATAAAAGATAACAAAATTCTCATGTGACGAGTGAACAAGTTGTAAAACAATATATACTTGTATATTGTCATACACCAAAAAGAATACATATCAATAGGCTTACACTTTCATAGGACAAACCTTGGCTCATAAAATTCGCTATTCGTAATGACGTAATGTTATGTCATAAAATAGACTAGCATTAGCAAATAAAAATAAATTGACTAAAATTTAGCAATCACGATCCTTCATTTTCTTCCTTTTTAAATGCGATTAAAGTGGGATTACAATTGACAGGAGGATGGAACTAGCTAGGATTTTTTGGTTCATAAATTTTGGTTCGTGGCAAAATTATAAGCAAACCTTTTACTAAGGAACAAAAACATTGCTTTCATTTGTACATTTATCAGAAAAAAGAAGGGCACCCTAATTTTCTAGGAACCTTTTATTTGAAGGTGACTTTTAAGACGTGAGAAGAATGAGACATTATATTAATTGTACATCTTTTTTATTTTTAGGGAAAAGGCATTTTATTACATCTAAGTAATGCAATTATTCCAAAAAGTAAGAGCGACATCTACAATTATGAGGAAGAACGATTGGTCTGTTTCAGGACCAACATCTACAATGATAGTGAACAAAAGAAGGTTTTCTGACAAGGCACTAAACATGAGGAAAAAGAGCATAAATTATGAGGAAAGAGAGCATAAATTATGAGGAAATAGTACTGAGTAACTAAACTTGATTCAGAGAATAATATAAACTTGATTAAAAAATTACTTAATTTGAAAAGAAAAAAAAATGTATACAAAAAATAGTCGTGAAGGAGAGAGTGGGGGATAGCTCAAGTGATTAGAGCTCCCCACCGGTTTCAGGTGATTCTGAGATCGATTCTCATCACCCCACCCTTGTGGTTCTCTAAACACCAAAAAAAAAAAAAAAAAAAAATCGTGAATAAGTATTTGTATACTAGATAATTCCTGAGTCATGCTTACAACCTCTATTTTTTTTTAATAAGCATGAAAAACATGCATGGACAAGCATGATAATAGAAATGGAGGAAATACAAGTTGATATCCTATATCAACATAACTTGTTGATATAAGGGCATCAGTGTCTTTTCAGTCATTAAATAAGGGGCAAAATCGTCGACACAAGGACTACCCACACATCCCGTTGAACAATACCCCGTTTCGAGGACAGACGACGTTGGAGAGCTGTCAACTATTGCTCTCTGCAATTCACCATCTCTGAAATTGCTCCAGCTCACCCACCATCAATAACTCAGCAATTTCGCAGCCTTCAATCCTTTAATCACTCAGTAGTTTCACTTTGTTCAGCCCATTTCACCATCTTCAATTACGAACAACTTCAATTCAGCTCCGATAGGTCGATTTCACGAACCCAGACCACACAATAATCAGTTAAAGGAGGGATTCGGATACCGAGGTCGAACTTTGCAAACGAGCGACCAGAAAATCAAACCAGATCTATCGGAAAATCGCCATGAAAGTACCCCTTCTATCTTTGTATATTTGTTTCTCTATCTTCTTTTCTTTCAAGCAAAGGATTGGCCACAATAAACACTTGACGGCGTTAACTTCACCGTGACACATTTGACTCATAAAACGGGGTCCAGCTCACCAATAGTATTAAACAATGAATAAATTACAAAAAGTAGGTATCATAATTGCAGAAATGTCATTATATCAACAAAACTTGTTGATATAGGATATCAATGGGGTTTGGCTCAATAGAAATATGTCAACTAAAAAAAACTGGATGTAATATAAGTTTCTAGAGAAATACTTCGTATAATAGAACAATCAATTCTAAATTTATAATAACAATCTTAAAAAATAATAATAATAATAATAATGACAGATAAATATAATGAATTTTCTAGGCAATTTATCTATAAAAAAAATAAAAAAAAAATCCCTTCAAAAAAACTCCAATTTTGTATCGAGTAATAGATTTATTTTAGCTCATAGTCTATAGAAAATTATTTCTTTAGATTATGTATTGCCAAAATAATTGTTTATACGTACTTCATAAATATAGCTTGACAAAAGGCATCTAAAATACAAGTAAAAAAATCTAGCTAGTCGACACATATTATATATTTTTTTAATATTTTTATTTTATTATCTACTTAACCAATTGCAATTTGTATTATTGATGTCAGTGACAATTATCTAATAAAAAAATGAAGTAAATAGGAAAAAAATTGAAGCACAAATATTCAAGTACCCCCTATGGAAAAGCATGGGTCACATTATAGGAGTGAATAAGAAACGAGCACATTTGACAATTTATTACAGGCAAGTGTCAACATAGTACACCTTTTGTGTTGTCGAATGCCAATTGACCCTAAGATGTCAAACAGTAGTTTTTCTTATCTGATGTACGGAGTACTACCTAGGATTAGTATTTAGTACGGAGTAGATACTAGTACAGACTACATACCCGAATTATTAAATATACTTACGCCAAATAAAGCTTGATTTAGTGAAAAGATTTGTCATTCGAGATCAAATTCTACTAGAGTTACTTTGACTTTTTTGAGGATGGAGATTCCTTTATCTTTCCTTCTCCAATCTCAAAGGGCTTATTCCATTGCCTTGTGAGAGATTTCGGTCTAATAAAACCTTTCTTCTTACCTACCAAGAAATTTTGTTGACATACTTGCTGCAATACATTACACTGCTAGTTTAACATGATTAAATTAGTCAAAGAGCATGAAATTTTTTTCCTCAAAAAAAAAAAAAAAGCATGAAATTTTAATAAAGAAAATATTCAATTTCTTGATTTTTTTTAAAAAAAAGAAATTTATAAGAATTTACGACTTAAACTTCTTCGCACATAATTTTGTGAATAATTACACAATATCATATACTTCGTATATCTTCCTTTTCAAACTTGAATGAATCATAGAACAATCACCCTCAATTATTATGGTGTATATGAGAGAAAACATTTTGTGATAATAACAATCCTACTACAACAATTAACTTGTTCTTTATAAGAATCACTAAAAAAAAATCATTAATGTGAATTTTTACCTCACACTCGATTCATCTCTATTCTTTAATACGAAGTATAAAACAACACATAATATATACGTAGTAATTTTCTTAGTTAAAGTTGAAATCCAGTACAAATACATATTTTTTTGTCACCATTATAACTTTATTCACAAACCAAACAACACCTATTATTTTCTTACTTTTTAAATAAAGTTAAAATTGAGTTTCTTGTCACTAAATTTGATTGAGCACTTGCACTATTGGAAAGAAAAAAGAGAAAAGTACCTTAAGAAAATTATTTGATCGACATGTGCTTAAAGAGAACAACAATGGACATGACTCCAATTCCTAACTCATAATTTTTATTCCACTCCATGTAAAAAGAGTTAAAGACTAATCATTTCATGTATAGTGCTACAAATAAGAGAAAATTTAATTGTTTACTATACTCTTGTACGAGTAGTAATATTACTAGCATGTGAAGAGATATTTATTATTTCGTCCATCAAAGCAACGTTTATTTCCTTTAATTTTAGCTAACGAACGTCTTCCTTTGATTTTTCTTACAAATATATCATAGTGATTATTTTTAGAAGGTAAAAGCTAACGAACGCCTTTGGTGTGTTGGATAAGCTAACTAAAAGTAGAAAGATTAAATTAAAAATTAACATTAATTTCACCGATCGACGCGTGATTTTGTCATGTTTTTCCATATTAATACCACTTTAGGTGATATTTTAAATGTTTATCCAACACCGTGGGGCGTTCGTTAGCAAGATCCTTTTTAGAAAAAGAATAATGATATATGTAATATGTATTTTTAAGAGAGTACATTTTTGTAAATATTTGAAGTTTATGATAAAATCACGTGTAGATTGATGATATATATATTTTAAAAAAAACCAGATTGATGATGTAATTCATGTTCAATTTTTATTACTATTTTTTTTAATGAAATATAGCTTCTTTTTTTTTTCTTTTTAACAAGGATCCATTCATTTTTTTTTTTTTTTTAAAAGGATCCATTCATTTTGAAGGTCTTACTCTTTAGTCTTTAGCTTTGAATTGGAGTAGGACGCATCAATTCCTAGTAATAATCAAAGATTGAAGGTCGAAAATCCTATTTAGTGTATAGTTGGTTGTGTGATTGTGCCCTAGTTGGGTGTGACATGATGTATAGCACAATACCGGTTCCCTTCCACAAAGGCCATGACAAGACCTCCCACCAAAAAAGCTTGATTTCACTTTAAGATGTCATTATTCATTCTTGT